TCAGGTTTGGAGAATTTGATTTTAAAAGTGTTGCATTAATATGGCCAACTTTAATTACAGGAAAAGGAAAGTGGAAAGGGAACATGCCTGTATGTGTCCTCAGCAAAAAGTTCAGATTCAACAAAAATCATCATCAAGAAGCTGGAGACCATTAGGATTTACTGTTAACATTAGGAATCAAGCTTTGCATCAGCTTCACAGTTATGTGCCTCCATGAGGATGGCTCTTATTGTGTTGGAAGACTGTGAAGAAAACAATTTCATTGAGACTATCAAGTAAGTATCCCCTTTGTTTGTAAGTCTTTCCACTCTTAAAGACTTCATTGTGAGTGGTCAAATAAAGTTCAATTAAATGCATGATAATAAACACAAAAAAATTAGACACTTCTGATAGGCTGAAAACAAGTGCATTTTTCACACAGCACAAGTGCAAAGTTGTAACACAAGTGCATGTTATAAATAGTATGCTGTTAAAATTGTGAATAAGTGCTACACATGTACAAATTGCACTTGCCTTATGCACTCTTGCAATTATGTTGTCTTTGAAAAATTTACTTGTGCTTATTATCACCAAACTGTTTTGAAAAGTTATTACCTGAACAGGATTCCTTTAAAATGTTGTATGGATTACATGCAACTGCATGAGTTAGCATTATGAAGATTTCACATTGTGGATTGTGGACAATAAGTGACGATATAAACTTAAGGGTAATTTTCACTGGCTTTTTGAAGCTTTTAACTATGAATTTTCTCTGAACATTTTGCTTTCAATAACTTTTCCATAGTTTCTCGGTTATGAAGGCAAACTTGGTTCTAAGATGCACCTCAAACTTAATAACTTAGTCAAGCCAAGTTCCCAGACTGAAAATTACGTGAAAATACTTGGTTATAAGATGCACCAAAAGGATGAGAGTTAACAAAAGGATTTAATGGAACTGAGAACAATTATTCCTACACAACTGGCATGCAAACTCTTTTGTTAAAATGTAAATAAAAGTGAAAAAGTCACACATTTAATGATCTACATAAAAACCAAGGCTAAAATTTCACACCTGATTATGAATATTCAATGATCCTGATTTCATTCTATTAACCCTTTAACTCCCAGATCCAATTTGTAATTCTCCTTACCATCAACCATACAATTCTTACAATGTTCATTCAGAGAATTTTGTTTTGGATCAAGTAATTATCCCCAAATTGATCTTTTCCTTTAATCTCATCATTTATCTAGTTGCTATTGTATAAATATTTTAAGGAGAAATTCTGTCTTGGTCACCCATGGGAGTTAAAGGGTTAAACATCAACCAACTGACTTCTTGTGCGATTGCAAATAGCTAAGCACTCACCATCACTGATATGACCTCAACTTCAAGTTGAAAATTGTTGCCAAAGCTGAGGCAGTCAACAACAATCGTGAAATTGCCCATGAATATGGCATTTCAGAATCCATGGTGTGAAAATGATACAACCAGCAACATGTCCTGTTTTCTGGTGGGCTGCCGATGACAGCAAAGTGTGCATCCTTGCAACACTACAAACCAAAAGACCTGAGTTGGATATCATGTTACCGAGCACGTGCTCTTGAGCATGTATGCAAATTTCCACTTGTTTGCTTTTCCATAGAAGTTGATTTAAATGTTCTAAAAGCAGTATTTGTTTTTAATTCATAGGAATAAAAGTTTGAATTTGATGTAATCTTCACACCTCAGACTAAAAAGCTCTGCTTTTTCTCCTTTTTTCTCTCAACAGTTAGTGTCCTTTTCTTGTCTTTTTAACTACAGTATAAGTTCTGCTAAAATTTTGATATCAAGATTTTGTTGTGCAAAAATACTTGGCTATAAGATGCACCTCAATTTCAGCATTAACTTTCCAACCAAGGAAAGAATTTTCTTGTAAAAACCATGTGCCTTAGAGCCAAGAAAATACGGTAGATTCTCTTTGAACATTTTGCTCCATTTCTTTCTACCAAAATTTGTCACTATGTATTTTGCGGTGTTTGTTTCCCAAAATCTGTGGAAGATTCTTTCTCTCCTGGACAGTCATGGCCTCAGTGGCTGTTTCAATGAATATACTTGGTCATCATAACCTATTTTGTTTCAACAGATCACTGAAGGATGATGATACAACAAGCACACACCCATTGTATTTATTTCTTCTGGACCCCTGTCAGGTAAAGCTGTTCCTTTTGCCCTGGTTACTTATATCACCATGGTAACTGGCCAAAGTAGCCCTCTCTTATTCCTTATTAAGGGTTAAAACCAGTTATAACACGTGTTGGAAACATAGTGCCCTTACCAAAAACAACATGCACGGAAAATGTTTACCAGATAAGGGTAAATATTACCTGAATGGACCAATCAGAGCACTTTGTTTCGCACTGGGTAAAGTTTACACGACAGGAGTAAACTTTACCTCTAGCAATTCGAACCTATGTCATTGAAGCTTTACAGGCCAGTGATTTTCTATCTCTCCTCATTTTTTCCTAACACCTTGCATGGGTTAATACAGTAATAAATTTAATGGTAGAAAAGTGTGGTGTATTGCATGCCTACCAAAACTAACAACCATACAGAGTCAAGGGCATGTACATGTACATGTACATGTAGGCACAACTTATATAATTTTGCCCCTTCTAAATATTGGTTCAAAGATTAATTAGCAGTGTGTTTTTGAATATGTTTCTTATGATACAGCTTGCAATTATATACTGTTGCAGAAGGCAATAACAAAAAGTACAGTTTTAGTATGTAATAGTCTTTTTAGATAGGGTAACTCAGCTGCAGTAATGAATAAAGGGGGTAAGTTTCTAAAGAAACTGTGGTGCTGTGTCGGTGAGAGAGTGTAGGAGGTAATTTAGTGTTAACATCTGAGTTGAAAACGTAAATTAGCCAGCGTAAGGGGTAAAAAAGCTGACGTTTCCAGCATTAGCCCTTCATCGGAGCAATTCCAATCACTCTGATGTACTAATGTAGTAATTAACAACTCAAAGATTGACTGGTTTGAACTGTTCTCAACAATGATTTGATCTTTTTATTAAATCTTTTTTGCTCTTGATTGTAGTGTGCAATTTTTTTTAGTATTGATTGACAGTTGTTGCAGTGCTGTTATGACTATAAATTTACAAGTTTTTCCTGGATTCTGTCAGACACTTGATGCAAGAGCAGTACCTTGATGAGCTTGTGTTCAAATGCTTGACGCTGGAGTGTGATCTGGGAAGTGCAGTAAATTGCCTGATAACGCAACCAGGACAATAAACAGGTACATGTATCTATCATGTAGAGTTTGATTAAGTCATGCTTGCTTTAAAATGCCTTACATTATTTTTAGAGTATATTCAGAGTGACAGTGAATTTTGAGTGGTGTGTTATGCCTTAATCCCTCAAAAAAGACAAAACAAAACAAAAGAGAGGGAAAAAAACCAGGACAGTTGTCAATTTAACAGTGGATTTCTTTTTTAAATTACCCAGCCAATTGGTATGTGCTTTGGGTCAAAAATTCATTCATGTTTTACTATTACTACTGGTACTAAGCAATGGAATTAACTGCAAGCAAATCAAACCACCAAACCAAATTCTTTTTAATAATTGGTAGCTCATTTTGTGAAACATCTTGGTTCTGGTTCTCAGTTTCTTCCTGGACATACAACTTTTTTGAAGCAAACACAAAACAAAATTAAAATAATTTTAATTTTATGGCTCTCAACAACATTTTCAATATGCACACAGCTTCATTACTCAGTTATATTAATTATTATTAATTAGCTGTGTGCATATTGAAAATGTTGTTGGGAGCCATACACAATAATTGGTCCCTTTGATAAAATTGTAAGGTCACTTGAAGATTTCTTAAAATGTTCTCTCAGTTATAATTAGGTAGATTTTACTTCAATTCAGCTCATTTCCTTTTCATTTTATTGTGACATGCAGTATAGCCCTTTTCAGTCTGGTGAATACTTGCACACCTTGCAAAACAAAATATAATTGCCAAATAATAATGTGATTCATGTAGCTTTACAAGGGAGACATTGTCTTAAAAATTTCTTCAACATGTTGTTGCAGTTACTCCCAAATCAAAGAGGCCTGGCATTGTTAGAAAAAGGAAATTTGATGCAGATTTTCTATCATCAAGGAACAATGATTGTGAAGGTATGATATTTGATTAACCCTTTTACTCCCATTAGTGACCAAGAAAGAATTTCTCCCTACAATATCAATACAATATCGAGTGGACAAGTGATGAAAATGAAGAAAAATATCAGTTAGGTGATTATAAGTTGACTCAATACCAAATTCTCCAAACTAACATCACAAGAACTGTATGGCAGACAGTGAGGAGAAATTATTAATTAGATCTTGGGAGTTAAAGGGTTCTAAAGGTGCTATCTAATGGAACAAGCTGCAAAAGGAGCCAATACATTCATAACTTGCAAGCCTTTGAAAACTGCATACCATGACTTTGTGTTCTCTCAAAATTATAGTTTTCCCTGCTTATAACCTCCTGTAGTTGCCTAGTTGTAGGTCAGAGTAAGTGGGCTAGTTGTAGCAACTTGTCTGCTTTATGTGTTTAGCACTTGTTTTGTAAGGATTTGATAATATTTGATACTTTATATTTGAAAAGTTTTGGATTTCTTGATGTCAACACCTAGAGCTTCAATGTGAACCAAAAGTTGGCTGCTGACATAATGTACAGTACTTACTTACCATATATGGGATGGAGCAACTCATCCTGCAACCTAAATGAAGCACTCCTCCATCCCTGTTGGGACTGTTTTGGTTGCCCTTGTAATATTATGTAGTGTTAGTAGTACAATCGTGCACTTGAGGAGAACTTTTGAGATTACTCAAGCTTGTGGTTTTACATGTATGTGATGGTCTTATGCAGTACAGAATCCCTCTAATTCCAAGTTTTAACCAGGTGCTACAACAGCAAGCCCTAAAGATTGGCAAATTCCAGCCTCAAATTGGGGTCTACACGCACCTTCAATTTTGTCATATTTACATGGCTATGACAGCTAACAATGTGCATATAATCACATTAATCCACTCTTGATCCCTTTATCACCTATGCATCAGTAAGACTAATCATGAGGAGAAGAGTGGTGTGCCTATCCCAGCAAAGCAAATGTCATGGGGTGATGTGAACCACACACAGCTGCTGCCACTCCATCCATATCACTATTATCATCATGTATCAAATGGTAAAAGTAATGTTCATGTAAAGAAAGACAGAGGTGGCACAGAGAGCACCATTATGTCTAGTGGGTATATGCAGAGTGATAAGTGGCAACCTTCAGTGGTAACAAAAGAAGAGGGCAAGAAACAGGCCGTGGGGGAAAGGCCACAAGACATTTCCTCCACAAAACAAAAAGAGGCAAATAAAAGCTGGATGGCTCAAGTGCTAATTACAATGACAAAAACAATCAAGCTGGAACAAAGACAAAAGCTGATAAAAGTGATAAGAGATTAGCCAAGAAAAGAATGTGAATGCAGAAGTTGCTCCCTAAGGTATGCTTTTTGTCAATTACTGATACCATAACTAAACAGTTTTCCTAAGATGCAAGACTGTACATACTACCAGAGCCTGGAGCTGACTTTTTATCCTGTTGACCAACTCACTAGTGACCCCCATCTCTAACTCAGATAATTTTCATTCACTGGTATACAGTTGTATGCAAAATTTGCAAGTGACAGTTCATGCATTAAGTAAATTACTCAATGTTTGAGCAAAATTGAAACTAGCTTCCTTACTAAATTCAACATCATAATAAAACAATTTGGTCCCTTCAATTGTAGTGGACAAACTTGTCAGAAATACACAATTTGTTCATTAGCTGTTCAATGTGGCTAACGAAAAAATTACAAAAATTATCTGTGAACAAGGAGCTTTTCCTTGTCACTTACTATTTTTAAATAGTAAGTGACAATATTAAGTATTATTATAATAGTAAGTTAATAAATAGGTAGTCAGGCTTGGTGAATTTTACAAGTGTAACAGCTGTATTAATATGGCCGACTTACTGTAATTACAGGAAAAGGAAAGTGGAAAGGGAGCATGCCTGTGTGAGTCCTCAGCAAAAAGTTCAGATTCAACACAATCATCATCAAGAAGCTGGAGACTATCAGGATTTACTGTTAAGAAGGAATCAAACATTGCATTCGCTTCACAGTTATGCGCCTCTGTGAGGATGGCTCTTATTGTGTTGGAAGACTGTGAAGAAAACAATTTCATTGAGACTATCAAGTAAGTATCCCTTTTGTTTGTAAGTCTTTCCATTCTTAAAGATTTCAATGTGAGTGGTCATTAGTAAAGTTTGACAATTAAATTCATGATAATATACATGAAAAAATTATGCACTTCTTATTGGCTGAGAACAAGTGCATTTTCATGCAGCACAAGTGCAAAGTTGTAACACAAGTGCAGATTATAAAATTAATAGTATGCAGTTGAAATTGTGAATAAGTGCTACACATATACAAATTGCACTTGCCTTATGCACTCTTGCAATTATGTTGTCTTTGAAAAATTTACATGTGCTTATTAACACCAAATTGTATTGAAAAGTTATTACCTGAACAGGATTCCTTTAAAATGCTGTATGGATTACATGCAGCTGCATGAATTAGCATTGCAAAGATTTCATTTTGTGGATTGTGGACAATATGTGACAATGAATATAAATTTCAGGGTAATTTTCACTGGCTTTTTGAAGCTTTTAGCTATAAGTTCTCTCTGAATATTTTGCTCCATCTCTCTCCACCACAATTTGTCACTATGTATTTCGCTTGCTTCCCAAAAACTGCTGAAGATTCTTTCTTCCTTAGACAGTCTTGGCCTCAATGGCTGTTTCAGTGAATATACTTGGTCATCATAGCCTTTTTTTGTTTCAACAGATCATCAAAGGCATGCAATGAGCACACACCCACTGTATTTATTTCCTCTGGACCCCTGGCAGGTAAACCTGTTCCTTTCTCCCAGTAGTTACTTATATCACCATGGTAACTGGTCAAAGTAGCTTCCTCTTATTCTTTATGAAGGGTTAAGACCATTTATATAAGTTCTTTGAGACAGAGCCAACCTCCTTGACTAGTGGTATAAGAAGAGGCTCTGTAGAAGTGTAGGTAGTTGTTAAAACTAATTTTGAGAAAAAGAGGGTGGTCAAAAATCTATCGTTTATTGCACCTGTAATGATGAACCTATGTCATTGTGGCTTTACAGGTCTGTGATTTTCCATCTTCTCATTTTTTCCTGACATCTTGCATGAGTTAATAGTCAGTAGTGAATGCTAGAAAAGTGTGATGTATTGCATGCCTGATGAAAAAACAACTATACAAAGTTAAGTGCATGTAGACACAACTTAATATATATTTTGCCCCTTCTAAGTATTGGTTCAAAGATTTACAGTGTGTTATTGAATATGTTTCTTATGATATAGCTTGCAAATATATACTGTTGCAGAAGGCAATAACAAAAAGTGGTAGCTTTTTAAGAAAGGGTAAATCAACTATAAGTTTCCTACATGTAGTAATTAACAACAGAAAGATTGACTGGTTTGAACTGTTCTCAACAATGATTTGATCTTTTTGTTAATTCTTTTTTACTCCTGATTGTAGTGTGCAATTTTTTTTAGTTTTGATTGACAGTTGTTACAGTGCTGTTAGATGTGTGACTATAAATTTACAAGTTTTTCCTGGATTCTGTCAGATACTTGATGCAAGAGCAGTACATTGATGAGCTTGTGTTCAAACGCTTGACACTGGAGTGTGATCACCTGATAATGCAACCAGGACAATTTGCAGGTACATGTATCTATCATGTAGAGTTTGGTTGAGTCATGTTTGCTTTTTCATTGTAAAATGCCTTACATTATTTTTCAGAGTACATTCAGAGTGACAGTGAATTTTGAGTGGTGTATTAAGCCTTAATCCCTCTCTGAAAAGAACACATTTCAAAAAAAAAAAGACAAAACAAAACAAAAGAGAGGGAAAAAAAACAGTGGATTACTTTTTAAATTACCCAGCCAATTGGTACATGTATGTGCTTAATTCATTTTTTACCGTTACTAGGCAATGGATTTAACTGGAAGCAAATTAAACCACTAAACCAAGTTCTTTTTAATAATTGGTGGCTCACTTTGTAAAACATGTTGGTTCTGGTTTTCAGTTTCTCCCTGGACATACAACTTTTTTTGTAGCAAACACAAAACAAAATTAAAATTAATATAATTGAGCAATGAAGCTGTGTGCATATTGAAAATGTTGTTGGGAGCCATACACAATTTGGTCCCTTTAGGAAAATTGTAAGGTCAATTGAGGATTTCTTAAAATGTTCTTTCAGTTACACTTATTTAGATTTGACTTCAATTCAGCGCATTTCCTACATGTATTCATTTTATTGTGACATGCAATATAGCTCTTTTCAGTCTGGTAAATACTTACACACCTTGTAAAACAAAAATATAGTTACCAAATAATAATGTGATTCATGTAGTTTTACAAGGGAGACATTGTCTTAAAAATTTCTTCATAATATTGTTGCAGTTACTCCCAAATCAAAGAGGCCTGGCATTGTAAGAAAAAGGAAATTTGATACAGCTTTTCTATCATCAAGGAACAATGATTGTGAAGGTATGATATTTTATTAACTCTATTACTCCTGTTGGTGACCAAGACAGAATTTCTCCTTACAATATCAATACAATATCAAGCAGACAAGTGATGAAAATAAGGAAAAATATCAGTTAGGAGATTAAAAGTTGATTCAATACCAAATTCTCCAAACTAACATCACAAGACCTGTATGACAGACCGTAAGGAGAATAATTTTGATTCACATCAACGCTATTAATGTTATTGCTTCAAAACAGGATTTTTCATCACTGGATAAAGTCACCATTTCCTTGGAGGACATGGAGAAGAAGGTCATGGAAGTTCTTACAAATGAAAGAAAAGCGTTTGGAATTAGGGACAAGCAGTCATGAAAGCTTCTATAAGCAGAATTTTCCAGAGTAAATGTCCACTGTTATTCGCTTGCTCTGAGTCTTAATATGTAAAGTAATCAATAATTATCAATTTTACTACTAACAGTGCATGTAACAATACCAAACAGAAAATCTCATGTTGGAACTAGTGGTAACATAGAGAATTGTAATGAAATGTTTTGTAAACAAAATAGTGAGGAAATCAACATTGCAACAGTCTGGTATTTACAGTTTGAGTAATTTTTTAATTACTAATTACTTACCCAAGAGCTTTTTGGCAATAATGAAATTGATGTATTTCATTTATTCCACTGCATAGTTATTAACTTTTAGACCCTACAGCTTAATGAGTAAAGATGCACATCTATTCCTTTCAAAGCTCAATCCCAAATAGATGCAACTGACTTCTATGTTAGAGGTCACATGAGAAATATACACTTGTGATAAAAAAACCTTTATTGAATTTTTGGATCGGGCAACTGCCCACCTACCCCTCCCCTAACTCAACAACAGTCAATTGACAACAATTTACAGTGTAAGGTTGATGTTGGGTTAGGGGAGAGGTAGGTGGGCAGCTGCCCAGATGCTGATATTGATCCGAATTTTTTAATCAATATTTACATGTATACTTATCAAAGTTACTGGCAATAAAATTATTCTTGTGATAAGAATTTTGGTTCTTTATAAGAGAAAGTGGAGTTAAGAGTGTGACAGGTCATCTAAAACAAACCTGTCAAGTACAAGTTTTAAATTACTGATTTTGAAATATGCTGAGGCAGTCTGACTTTGCACTTCAGAAGTTTGCAAATACCAAATCAACAACAAGGACCTTTAGCAGTAAGGAACTGAGGCAACGCCGAAGAAGACGTCACTTAAAAAATGTATTTATATTTTATGTTAAAATTTTGCGGATGGCTGGGTGTGTTCACGGTTTCTTACGACGCTTCACTGAAACTTCAGCATAACGTATGTGGGCCGCTTTGAGTTCCAAATGGAAACTTATTTTAAAACTTCCGTTCACAGATCACGCAAATTTTGGTGATTTCATTTTGTTTTTACAGGGCAGCTAAGTAATTTACAAAGGTTTAGTAGGTACCTGCTGATCAGCTATTATTTTGCCAACTGTTATGATATTTTGTTTTGCCTTGTCCTTGTTGCCATTGGCGTCGTGGTTCGCGTTAAGGTCCCTAGTACTTACCCTGTAATATAAACTTGGTCGTAAACTTTGTCGTCAAGACAAACAAAAAGTGCTTGTGTTGTAGAAGTAATTAGAGTTTTGGCGCAATTTTCGCGGCACGAAACTAAAGTCGGTCACAATGAAAACAACAATGTAACTATTTGGAGGCTCAAAAGGTTACGGTTTGTAAAATTCAGCTAGTTGCTCATAAAATCCCCTTATGACAAACTTTAGAGCAGTGATTCATAAACCAAAGTTGTCAGACCACATGTACATTTTTTTCCTGCCGCAGTGATTGGATCAGTCTCGCAGTGCAAAAGATATATAAAAACATTAGAAGAATGAAACTGGTCAATTTTCGTCAGTGGCCGCTCAACGGTTACGGTCTTTAATTTCAAACACGAAGGTTGAGATCAAAATAAAGCCGACCTCCACGAACGATTACGATGATTTACCCCTATCGATTATAATTCTGGCTACTGCAGTGACCTCAGTGAACGGCGATTATCAAATTCCAGCCGTATGAGCTGTTCAGAGATGACGTTTCACCGATAGAGATCATGTTTTAATCGAATACCTTAAATTTATTGGTCTAAATTTATGAAGGAATGAAAACACCGAAATCTATATTGCTTGCATTTGAACATTGACTTTTAGTCAGCAGTAAAACCTATCAACCGAGATTTATATTTCATGTTAAATCGAACAGTCTACGAAGTCAAAAAAGAGCGTCCCCAATGGCTATTCGGGATCCGGGATTGGTCTTATTTAGAGGCCGGGATCCGAGAATCTAGTGTAAGAAGGGGGCGAGATGCGGGAATGATGTTATGCCGGCGGGACAAGGGAATCGGCGATTTTAAGGGGCGAGATACGAGACTGAAATAATCACTTGAACGAACCAAGAACGGGAATGTCCGTTGACGAGAATGAAATTGATCGGATCTGGTCAGCGACACTTCAGTAATTGCGCAGGAATGAAAATTCTATCAAAAGCGAAGTTGCCAGCTTACCAAAAATCCTTAACGGCGCAAAGGGTAATGTGGCATCTAAAACTGTTGCGTCAATTGAAGTGCTTAACAGCGTAACAAAAAGAGAAACCCCAGAAAGTCTCGGAATTATATCGATGTGAGGCTCTTAACCCCTTGAGTTGCATGATACTAGACGTGGAGGATATTCACTCAGTTATGCATCACAAATATAAACTTTTCACGGTGTTAGATTACGCAAGAAAGTTTGGAAATGCAGCCAAAAAATGGAAATGGACTAGGAATACATTTTTATGATCAAGATTGGCCGGTATAAGCCGTCGGAATTACGGGACTGGGAGAAAATATTAGTCGGGATCGCTAGATTGAAGAACCTTGTTGGATACCCTCAAGAAAGCATTGATTACGATCATTAAACAAACATCCTCAAGCAAAAACACGATTCTTTCTCATAAACCTTATATGAGCCCATCGGGTGAACTCGCTGTTTGAAACGTACACTTGATTTCTACCCAAAGAAAACTGCTCGGTAGAAAAAAGAATCGGGGTTTTTCGTCAAGCGAAAAATATTAAAATATTGCAAAGTAAATTACAAACGGAAAATTTAAACCTGATGAGGTCAACTACCTTTTTATTAATTACAATGACTTAAAACCACCGATACTTTCAAATCGGCACTCTAATTCCCACGGTATCAACGAGCACTTTTCATTCAACTAGTTTGTTCTTGTTTTCACCCTTTTCCCAACCATAGCGCAGCTCCATTTTCTGCATATAAACGCACGCACAACCCACAATTCGTCCATTCGCTCTGACGAAGCGCTAACGCTCGAAACTTCACCTTTCAAACTCTTAACGGTGGCCAATCTACGTTATCAACTCAATTGATAATATTCAATTGTTTTTTTCTCAGTTCGTGAGCGGGCGGTATTCTACAAATCCTGCAATCTGCTTGGTTCCAAGAGCGGGTAGTATTCTCCCCATCCGGCCCGCTCACAGCGGGCGGTATCCGATCCTTTTAAAAAAATGTTTCGAAGTTTTCTTGGAGGCCTTTTAAATCACCTTTTAATATCATTACGCAAATAAATATGTTTTGATGAAACCTCTCTCTTTCATTTGCATTGCCCTTGTTTTCTCTACCATCTACTTGCTCATAAATTGTTCCGTTTATGGGGAATCTTGCCGTACTTACAGCCTTTTATCATTCAGATTCTTTTCGCAACCATTTGATAGGTTTTGGAAAAAAATAAAAATGTTATTTACCAGCCAAGGTCGCTCCGTATTGGGAAAAACTGTGCCCTCTGTCTTGTGTACCGTCCGAGGCCTAGGGCCTAGGGCCTCGGGCGGTATCCAAGACCTCGCTCACAGTTTTTCCCAATACGGACCTCCCGTCCGGTGAATAACATATATTTAGCATATTAATCGATGCGCGCGCTTCCATGAGTACTTAACAAATGCACTGGCTAAGAGCATGTTAATAAGAGCCAAACAATGCAGGAAGTTGGAATAAAATAATGTTTTTAAAA